CAACCTCTTATCACTGAATGATAACGAAACAGTTTGTTCACTGCGTAATTTAAAGCTGACATTTAGCAAACAGCCCAGAACTTCTTCTCATCTTGCCAACTTCAGAATAATTGACGTGCTCATTAAAGTTAGATACAGATCATGAGCAAAATACCATTGGAATGACTTCACACAGTACTGTTGTGTGGAATACAGTTAATATTCCTAGTGTGTTGCAGAAATTTTTGTCTGTGTATTTGGCTTACTTAAAATTCTCTTACCAAGCCAACAGAAATTAATCAAATATATGTATTGTCAAGGTTTTTTTTTTAATTGATGTGTTTTTTGTATTTTTGAGCTAATTTATATTCCATTAACATTGATTTGCCTTCATAAAAAATGTATACAATAGATATGGCCAAAGAATCACTGTTTTTGCACCCAGATTTGTGTACAAATGATTGGCTTCACTTTTAAACTTTTCCAGTAATTTTTTTTTCCTCTTTTTCTAAAAGAGATAGGGTGACTGTAGCATTCGAGAAAACTACAAAGAACATTGAGGTCTATTGCATGTGGCTTTGACCTCTCCTGCTCACTTCTAACGTAACTTTTTTGCACATTAGTAACATAGTCATCTGTGACTAGGCGCTGATCTTACGTTTTGTAGCCTTTCATGTTAGTTTGCATGCTTACTGAATCTGAGGGGAGTGGGCTTTTATTCTTCCAAATCTGCTGATATATTAACCAAGGAAAACGATATTTAACGGTGAGAAATCCTACTGCGTCATGCAGAGCAGGTATCAGTTTCATTTTATCTGAATGTAGTTGGGATGCTGGGATTGAAGAATTTTAAATCTCTCTGACAAAATTCTTACTTCAGATTTTAAATTTTGGTCAGCAAATGTCTAATAATGGCATTTCCGTGCTTCATGAGGAAGTAACTGGTGGGAGGCATGCAGGAGAGAGCGTCCTGGCAGTTCTGTTGTGTTTGTGCGTTTGTCTTGTGTTACATTTACAAGGCTGAAGTCATATTTTCAGTGAAGACAGTTGGTTGCAGAAACCCCAAGACGCAAAATGGCTGGTTCAAGGATAGATGCACAAATTACTATTCCTATTATAAATACCAAATTAGCAACTATCTAGACAGGAGGAACCCATAGAAATATTGTATTTCATAGCTGACTTCAGAAACGAAGGGCAAAAAATTTTATTCCAGGATGTGTTGCTTAGGATTCCTTTAACAAAAAAAAAAAAAAAGGCATTTTTCTTCAATTTTGATCACAGTTACAGTAAATAATCCACTTCTTCCTCCCACTCCTCCTACACAGCTCACACACAGATAAAGTAACCTGTCACCTTGTTTATCAACAGCCTTTATGATTATGTATGTTCCGTTTTGTCTTTGCAATACGAATATTACTGAAATGAGGCAAGTTGACTCACTCTGTCTGTTATAGTTAGGCCCTGAATCTTCTGCAATTCAGAAATGGGTATTACTGAGAAAGTAACTTGTTCATGAGTTTGTTTCTTATCCATAGCTTCCTAACCAACTTTTAAATATATACTGTTATTCCCTGCTGCTTTCACAACATTTTTTTTTTTTTAGTTCTGTTGAATAAGCATAAGGATAATTTCATTTTAAATCCCTTACTTTAATGATAGAGGGTATAGTTCACTACTGTTTTATCTGGTGGCAAAAAAGGTTCTCATATCCCACTAATTCCTTGGGCAGAAAGTGACTGCTCCTCCCTTGTGATAGGGAATCCATTCGTGCAGTGCCACTGGGCCTTTCTCTGTGTTCTCTGTGTTCTGCCAAATGGAGTTATTAAGCTGACCCAGCTGAACAAAGAGACAAAACAAAGCAACCTTCTTTAGGCTGGCTTGTTTCTGAAATCCATTTTGCATTCTGTCCCCACAAAGTATCACATTGGCACAACTGCGAAATAAGTGAGTTATGGAGCAGGGTTGGGAAAAATGAGATATGATTCTGCTGGAACTAGACTTGTAGAAAGACTTGTAGACTTCTGTATCCTACAGAATAGGATAGGAAACAAAGCAAGAGTAGCTCAGGGTTTAACAAACCATACACATGATTGGGAAAAGGGAGCAGGAGAACATTTTGAAACTCTAACTTGATGAGTGTCTGTCTGTGGTTATTGTTGTAATTATTGTTTTAAAGAGATTTAGTCCATCTGGTCATTCCTTGGGAAGGAGACTTCTCCCTTAATGCATTTTTTTTGTATGTGGAAAACATTTTTATTTTTAATGCAAGAGGCTTAGACCAGAAAGAGTTTTCTGGGTCTATTCAGATATATTTAGGAAGTATTTAGGGCTTTGATTATTACCGAAGCACTGATGAATTGTTGAGGGGAAGAGAGTACCACAGTATTTTCATGTGCTATGTGGAAAACATTTTTATTTTTAATGCAAGAGGCTTAGACCAGAAAGAGTTTTCTGGGTCTATTCAGATATATTTAGGAAGTGGAATGAATCCTGTTGTAGTTCTGTAATCCAAAGTGTTCCTGCCCTTAAAAGCCTTGATTGAAAGCAGAACATCCGTGAATTTTATGTGACTATTATAACCTCCTGTTTTCTACAGAACTTTAACTTTTGACTTAGCTGATTTTTATCCATCTGGGCTTTGAGTTGTCTAATGTAATAAAAAACTAAAGCATTACACTTAATATTATAGTTGTAAAAGGTTATCGTTATTTTCATACCAAACATATGCAAGGTTTGCAGCAACCTAGACCATCCTCTTTCAGATTCATAATTGTAGATTTAGCCCAGTTTGGCCTGCCAGGTTCGGACAGACCTACTGAGCTGTGAGAGCGCCCAGTGCTGGGTGCCAGACGCTCCCGCAGCGCCTCTCCATACCGCTCGTGGGCCTGCGGCGCTGCTCTGCCTCCAACAGCCGGCAAGTGAGACGCTGATAAGGCAATAGCTTCCATGTCCTTCACGCCGTTCCCGCGCCACTTAGACTTTCAACACTTTTGTTGCCTTTTGCTGGGTGAATTTTACCAACATGGAATCCTTTTTACTAAGTAATGTTTAGCCTGCATCTCCTTAACATATCCTGTGTTTAGCACATGGGCTTTATTACTGGGCATAAGTCGGCACGTTGATCTGAGGCTACTGAAATGTCTAAGCCCAGTGGGGTAAATTAAGATGGAATAGCAGACTGAATTCTGTTTCTTTTTCTTTTCTTTTCTTTTTTTTTTTTTCAGATCAGTATGGTCAGTTTTGGTTTAGTTGCTTCATTTTATTTTTTGTTATATTGGTGAGCACTGGAAGTTTTCATTTTATGCTGGCATTCCTCAAAATTAATGTTTTAAGGTAGACATGCGAAGCTAAGTTTAGACACCCCCAAATATGTAATTACAAAGATATAATTCTCATCAGTATCAGATATCTGCAGCTTCCATTGAAATCAAATGAATACAACGTTCCATACTTCAATGAGTTTTTGTAATGATTAAACAGACACTCACAAAACTTTGACAAGCTGAAATCAAGTTGCAGGTGGAAACTGATTTTTTTTTTTTCCTTAATACCATTCTTGTAGTTGGTGATTACCAGATGCATTTAAATGGTGTGAAATGGGAATTGAAAAGGAGAGGAAAGCCAAATGCCTCGGATCTTTTCCTGGCAACCATTTATTTTCAATTTCTGCTGTGCACTTAGATGAAGCAGAATGATTTCTGCAAAATGCTCAGCTGTGGTTTCAAATTAAGTTGATGTTACCAACAGAGAGTGGCTTGTAATTGAAAACTCATTTGGCTATAAGTAGTAGGTTTCAGTCTTGATGACTTCCCACTTTATTTCAGTGGTCACATTGTTGTCCTTAAAGTGGGTAGCAGTTATGTCAAGATGTGCTTGACCTTTCAGTTTTCTAAACCTAATGCTATAATAATGCTATTGTTAATTTGATTTAAAGAAGAGAGGAAGACTTCTAGGCTCCGTGTCAGGTGAACTAGAGATATCCTGCTGATCTTGAAGAAATTTTTTTAGGGCTGTAATAAGCCTTAAAATAAGGGCTCTCATGAATGAGGTGGCACTGGCTCAGTCTTTGTACCATCTGTTCTCTTCCTTGTCACATAGAGATGATGATATATTCATAAAACTCCAAAAGCTTGTTTTTGTTTCTTTGAAATTTGCTTTTGACAGGGCATATCTAAGTGTGGCCTGCTTACTATTACCTTGATAGGTGTCCTTTCTTTGGAAAGATTTCCCCCTTCCCTGCCCCTAGTTCCCTGGTGACTATATGTATGCACTCCAATCCACAGATGATGAGAGCTGCTCCAATGCTTGCTGTCCAAGAAGAGGTCATCACGAGTGTTTCCTTTCTCATTTATTTTTGGAAATGCCAGGCCACACAGGAGCTGGCCCTTACCAGAAGAAAACTTATTAGGAGGCTGTATAGTCCTGGAACAATTCAGGATCAATTGTGGGTGATAACTTAAAAGCCCTTTTTCTTCTCTGTCCAAGTAAGATGTATCAGATCTATATCAGGTCAAATGAAGCTAAATTTGCAGTATTAGTTCTATTGGATACTTCCATGGAGCATGCAACATTTCTGGTCAGTTTTAGGATATGCACAAACTGTACCTAAAATAGTTGTTTTTTTTCAATTTTTATATAGCAGTCACTTCTCAACCTTAGCTACAGTGGTACTGCTATTTTTTTAAGGAATATTTTTTTCAATATTGGCAATGTTTTTTGTGGCTACTGACAACTTTGTTCCTTGCCACTGCAATCAGAGACTCCTGCTGCTTCTCGCCTTGTAAAGCTGTTGCTGCTGCCTGCTGTACTATGAGTAGTTAACTTTTGAGTGTATGATGGTGGGAAGTAGATTCCTGGCTTACTTGACAGCTATATATCGTATATGAAAACAGGAATACAGGCAAGACACGAGTGTTTCTTCTCATTGTGATCATGCATTAAAATTTACTTGTTTTTTTAAAACTTAATTTCTCCTCTAAGTATACTTTTTTTCTCCCTATTTTAACAGTTTCGTTGTGAGCAGCTCAAAAGCAAGAATAAAGGTGAAGAGAATCTTCTAGAATTGTGTTCCAACCAGCGTGTTGAGATGGAAAGGTATGAAACTATATTTTTTGTCTGGTTTTTTTTTTTTTTTTGGAAACATATTTATGTCATATTACTCAAAATTTATGATAGAGTGTTTCCTGTATTTGTTAATCGGTTGATCAGTGGCAGCTCAAGCCCTTGAGTGGTGAGGCAGACCCTTGGGCAGCCGGTTTCCTCTGTTATTTCATTCCGGCTGCTTCATGTTTACTATAGGCAAGAAGCTGGCTTGACTAAGCAAAGCTGGTTTTTCCTCTACCAGCTGTGGCTCGTTAAGGCCTTGTGCCCAGGCTGAGACCATGGGAGAGGTCCCCAGAAGGGACGACAGCAGAGTGTGTCTCAGAAAGGTGCCTCCTGAGGCTACGAGATCTCCCTAAAGGGGTTCAAGCTTTCCTAGATACTGGCCTTCCTCGAAAAAGAGCAGTTGCTTGAGAAAAATACAAATAATTTTTACTCTGCTTTAGATTTGTCTCCCTGTATTTGCTTTGTATCTTTCAGTTTTCAGGTCTTTCAACACTTTACTGCCATCTCCCACACCAGTTTCTTTGTGTGTGTATTCCAATGAAAGAATTCATCTTCTCAGAAAGCACATGCTATTTGATGGCTTTACCTGGTAGAATTTTCCATTTGATTCATTTTTCATGTCAAAGCTTTAACTCTTTTTCTACCTGCTGAGTGCTGAATGTTGGGTGATGCATCTGGGTGAATATGCTCCATTTAGTTTTCCTGGAGAGGTACTCATCCATAATTCACTTGTGTCATTTCAAAAACAACCAAGTTGATAGAAATCATTTTATCAGGTTTCCTGAGGTTAGAATTCAGCCTAAATTGTATCCAGGAGGAAAAAAAAAAATCTGTTAGTGCTATTATTAAGCCAAAGATCCAAGTAAAATGGCAATGATGTTCCTGTCTTTACATATACATGGGAAGTTGGAGAAGTGAGGCACTAATAGTGAAATGCGATTTAAAGAACAGGAACCTTCAGTTCCACAGGGCAGCAGGACTGAGATGTGTAACACATTATGTCGTGTGAACTGGCTGATCTTTTTCTTCTTGCATGTAGCATATTTGTTCAGGGAAATATTTAACTCTGGAAAATACTAAGCACTTATGTACTAACAGTTTTACATTTTCTTCAGTGAGATGGAATAGATTATAGGTCCAGCTTCAGTTAATTATTGGGGCCTTTTTTGGCTTATTCTCCAAGAAACCAGATGTGTTTCCATTAATAACATGCCCTTCTTTTGTTGTTGTGATTTGTGTAATTCTTAAAATTAAGCAAAACTATTAAAGAATAATTGTTTCTATTCACATTAACAGCACACAGCTTCTCCAGATGTGGCATTTGACAGCCAAACAGCTGCTGGCTATTAAATGTTCTGTAAAGCGCCATTCTTCTGTCATAAAGTGAACAGAAGTGTAGGGATGTTTATGGGGTGATAGGCAGATGTTTTGTCTGGATCAGATTTGAGTGAAAGTTGAAGCAGTTTCTCTGCCATAGTCCCACTGTGCATAAGCTTAACTCTTATCTACACCTTGCATTATGGAGCTCTCTCTTTGGAGATGAAGTAGGATTATGTTTGATCTCACACTTAGCTGCCAAGTGATAGTGACAGCACTTTTTTTTTGTCAGCAGGACCATTTTGCTCTAAAGAAAATGAGATTTGTTTGTGAGGTGGATCTCAGCTGATGGCTGACTTGCTTCTGAAATACTAGGTTAATTGTTTGTTTTGGTGAAACTTTTTAATTCAAGAGAGTTGAAGGAGAAATAATACAAAATTTGTATGCTGTAAGTAGCAGCCTCTTGGAAAGCATACACGAGTCTCTTGTGCATATGTGTGTATAATATATAATCATAGTTGGCAAAGACAGGTGTTCTTTTTCCTGTGTTTGCATAGAAAAGTGCAGTATACTTTATGCATACTAGACTCTCTCTTCTGTGTGAGACCGAATGTAGAATTAGTGAAGCTCCATTTCTAGAGATTTGGCTCAAAACTCAGCCTAAACTGTGAGTGAAGGCAGGACCTGAAGGTGTTGAAGGCTAGCACAGCCCCGTGGATTCGTAAGGGATTGCCTGACATGCTAACTGTTGTCTATCAGCTCCAGATTTGGTTGCTAATCCTTATAAAAGTTGTAATAGGCCATGAGGCTCCAAAACCTTCCCAGAAAAGTGTGTTTTCTTGGCAAGATCTTATTCTTCCCATTGCTTCTTAAATTAGAAATTCTTTATCATTTAGTCTTAACTGAGCAAAGCTTTAATATCAAGGTCCTAAACTTTACATTAGGCCTTTTCCAGAGAGGAAGCCAATGGTTTACCATGTGCACTAAAAAGTAAAAGGGGAAGCATTAGCTGGGTGGTTTGCCTTGAAATTTGTGTGTGTGTGTGTTTATTTGCTTGTTTAAATTCTATTTGGTTCAATTAATCCTCCATAATTCAAATGCAGAAATACATTTCTTTCCATGGCTGTCTTTGTGGCCATCTCATCCAAAAAATAATCCCATGTCTGAAATGCCCACCCAGGTAGGCATGAAGCATATCTGTTGAACATCTAGATTCTGGAATTGATTTCCCTTCAAAATACATCTCTGCAATGTTGGAACCTGGCTGTAAATCCTGGCCTAAAACCTCTTTCACAATTGCTTATGGTGTGCATTTGTGCTTTCACCAATCACACGAGTGACCCCAGCACAGCAGCTCTGGAATTATTATCTCAAATTAGTTGTACCTACTGAATATTACATTATCCTCTACAGTAAATGCAATAGATTTCTATCTATTGTTGGCATGTAGCTACTATTAATAACCAGCAGTGCAGATTCTCATTGAACACCAGGGAGAGCCAAGAGCTCACAAGGGCTGTCTCAGGAGAAGACTGTAGAGCTGGTACCTGTCTATTTGATAAACGTGGGTTTTTTTGGTCACATATTTCTTGCATATTTGCTGTCCTATTCTCTTCAATGTTATTTTATTAGCAAAAATGAAGTACTTCATTTAATGAAAAAAAAAAAAAAAAGGAAAGAAAGAAAAAGAAAAAAGGTGGCAACACACAGAAATGCATCTTTGAGCTTTACAAAACCAAAAGTAATTTGGGGGAAAAAAAAAAAGAGTGCCTTCTGCAGCCCAACAGGGGAAGTTCAAATAATTATCAAGAACCCTCAGTTCTAAAAAAAAAAAAAAAAAAAGAGTGCCTTCTACAGCCCAACAGGGGAAGTTCAAAAAATTATCAAGAACCCCTCGGTTCTGAGGTAGCTCCTAGTAACCCGCTTTACAAAACCAAAAGTAATTTGGGGGAAAAAAAAAAAGAGTGCCTTCTGCAGCCCAACAGGGGAAGTTCAAATAATTATCAAGAACCCTCAGTTCTGAGGTAGCTCCTAGTAACGTTCAACTTGAAGTACTCAAGTGCTCCATCTGTGTGTTCTGAAAGTCTGGCCTGTGAAGTGGATTTATGTGCCAGATTTGGTTACTTACCATTTCGCATGTTTCATGGTAAAACTTGACCTAGTTTTGAGTTTGACGCCAATACTGATGTAAAATGCAGGTAAAATGAGAGAGAGTTTCTGGTCAAAAAAACTTTGTATAAAAACAGAGGGGAAAAACAAAGATGGTCAGAAGTCCAGGTGAGAGAATTGCTGACTTGTGTGATAATGTCAGAAACATGGAAATTACAGGGTTGTGATTCTTTTCCTTTTATATTGGCACAGCTGGTTCTTGTTCCTTTTCTTGCCCAGAAAGGAGCAAGCAGAGAAGACAGAAAGGTAGCAACGCAAGGTAAATAGGTACAGGTTTGTACTAGGTATAAACTGCAAGTAGCAGAGAAGATAAATGAACATTTACTGACTGAGAAAAAGTATTTAAAGGCACCCCACTATGTTTATGGGGTGTTTCAGCTTGGTTCACGCTCTGAACTCAAAAGGCTGAGGTCACACATCTTTTCTCACTGTCTCTGAGCCAGCGGGGAAGATCAGTGCAGCCTGCACAAGTACTTAACTACTGCACTCCTGCCATTTATTACTGCTGCTCTTTTCCTGTTCTCAGGACTGCACCTCAAAATTGCTACTTTGTCTCTCTTAACAATTGTTTTATTCTAATATTCATTACAAGTATAATTTTCTTCTGTAAAGTACCTCTGCAAACAGTTTCACTTAATAAAAATTTACTGCTGTTATGGTCTCTGTTTATAAATATAAGGAATAAATTGAATCATTTGATGCTCTCAGCTTAAAATTCACCACACTTCTATGATTTGGATAGATGGGTTTGTTTATTGGATAATTTTATCATTAGTCCATTTACATTTTCCCCAGAATATGCAGTGAGATACCTATGGCATGTATGAACTGAAATAAATATAACCCATAAATTCTAACTATGTTCAGTATTTCTCGTAGTTCAAATGAAGAATTTGAACATTTTCTGCCTAAAACAGGATGTGATACTGCTATAATAGGTTGCTAATGTTTTTAAGTCTCGCAGTTTGTTTTCCTGCTCTAGTGATGCGCCATTTTAAGCTTAGGTCTTGCTTTAGGCTGCTTGGGAAATGAAAGCCTGAGTGCAAGATAAGCTAGTGCTTTTTGAAAGTTTAGCTTTGTCTAGTTTTCTGGGAGAGTGTATTTATGTCTTGCGCTTTCTCTGAAGTCACACTCCCCTATTACAGTGTGTTTAGTGATTTGTCCCTACTTGCTTGTTTTATGCAAATTTGGAACAAGTCCTTAGGTGGATTTATGTCTTGAGTTTCCTTGGCTGAGAAGCTGAAAAATACCCAGTGTTTTCCCAGAAAACAAGTATTTTAGGATATAGAACAGATCCATTGTTGCAAGATTGTTCTTAAAAGGGATTTTTCAGGGAAAAGAAAATGCGTTTTAGATATATTATGAAATATTACATAAAAATACACTACCAAAAAACTTTGCCATTTGAGCCCCTAGTTTTGGAGTTCACAAGAGCATTTTTGTTAAAATTGAATTTAACATTTTTCAAGTTTGGAGAGAGCAGGAAGAAGCGTGACGGTTCTTGTACAACTCCAGAATGGTTCCTATGATTTTCTAGATACAAGATAGTAAAACTGTTAATGAGTGATGTTTAAATATTTTAAATAAATGTATATTGCAAAACACTTGGGATTTCCTTATGTGTGATTCTACTTTTGGGTTCTGTGTGTAGCAGGGAACAGGGAACTGGAGATGTGTAAAGAACTAGTCATGCTGTCTATTATCGCATTAAGAAAATGACTGATACTTTTTCTGCAGTTGAAGTTTTTGTGCATTAACTACAAAGTATAATGTTGTGTTTTTCTAAGCAGGTGTGAAAGCAAAGAGCTTGATGTTGAAATAAGGAATCTGATAGAGAGGACTAACACTTCCCAGTTGTGCGAGAACCCTGGACCTGTTACCCAAGAGTGTTCGAACAATCAGGGAACTTCATGTTCCCTTAAGGTAAATGTGGTTTTCTTTTGCAATAGTTTATCTGTGAAGGAAGAACATCACAGGGACATTCCCTGTCACTTCAGCAGTTATACAGGAAACTTTTGATTTCTGAAATGGTGTACTGGGCTCATTATGCATTTTTTTTCCTGATATAGCTACTTTCTGTTATAAGGATGTTTGAGTGAGAAGAGACTTTTTATAATACTTTAAAGTACCAGCTAAAACCAACAGTTTGTCCAAAGTGCCAGCATGTGTAGCCAGCTCTGACTTTTGGATAATAATAATCCACAAAACTGCATACCCTGAGAACACAATCGTTCCTCTCTGTTGCTATGTTCAATAGTTTGGAAGTAAATGAAAATGAGAAGAGATGTAGGGGACAAAGATCTTTGGGAGGACATTTAGGAGATGTTTAGATACATAAGAACAAGACTGTGAAAAAGGAAAGCTGTAATTTTCAACCTACACTTATGTGGTATCATAAATAGAAAAACCTGCTAAGGTGGACTCTTTTTATTGATTGAAGCATGATAGAATATTTTAAAAACTTTCTCTTCACTTCAGTAGAAATTGCTTTTTACGTGTAGCAGGAGGACAAAAGGAAATTCCTGTTTTCTGCAAACTGTGAAGGGAGGAGTGAGAGGTTTTTCTATTAATGCTCAGCTGTAAGGGATGAATGCTTACTTGCCTATGTGACTCCAATAGAGGGAAGGAAATCTCTGAAGGCAATAGCCCTAAGTGTCAGGCAGGGTATTAATGAGAAGGTAAAGAAGGTATGACTGTGATAAATGATATTACATGTAGCTCTTTTCACACATAAACTGCCATTTCTAAAATGACTCATGACGCTGAGGTGTGAAACAGGACTAAGCCTAGAGACATCCCAGGGTCAGACCAGCGGGATTAGAAACACAGTGAAAGAGAACCCACACTGAGGAAAGGGGATTCCCAGCTTCTGGGGAGAAATAAAAATAGTGAAACAGAACTCGGCACAGGCAGCAGAATCAAGTAGCACTAAGATATGCAGTTACTGTGCAGAAGAGTGAGCTAAAATTTCTGAGGAAAAGCTTGTTCCCCTGCGTATTATACTCTCTTCAATAGAAAAAGATACAGAAAAGGATTTTTGGGAAAGGAAAGAAAAAGTGTGTGCTCATCTCAAACCTTTCTGCAGAGTACTTCAGTACTTCCCACAGAATGCTGCTTCTGTAGCATTTTGCGGGTTTTTGCATCCTTAGCAGTTTGCTTGCCCTTGAAAGATGTACGGGTGTGCACATGTAGATATGATTCATAGCTGAAAGGAGGAAAATGTTTTATGATGTTTTCACAGTAGGAATATGTTTTTGGTTTTTTTCCTTGTTTTTTTCTTGTTTATTCTCTTAAGGCAAGTAACTTTTCCATTAGCTGGTTATTGACTTGCACGTTAAGTAAGTGATAATTCACAGTTGTGTGTCCAACAGTCTCAGTATAAGAAGCTAGGAGCACATGCTCTGGATTTTATATTTGGCAGGAAAAGGTAATATTTTTGGAAACTCTAAAATATTTCCTATTATAAAGGATATAAAATACCAAATTAAAAATAAGAAAGTCATAGCCTGTGAAATGAGATGCTGATCTAGTATGGAAACAAGGGAAAAGTCTGTATTTAGGAATTAGGATAAGGATATAAAATACACCTTTCACTACAGCACTGGGCAATTCGTCAGGAAATTGTCTGGCAAAGCAAGCTTGTTTTGTTCTCTAAATTTTATTCTGAGATGAAAAGTAAAATTTTGTGCTGCAAAATTACATATTTTTCTAGTTTAGGGCACTTTTGAGACTTATCTGAAAGCATCTATGAACAGTTCCCGTTCGCTGCCTTCTTTTTTTCTATAGTGTGTTTAGCTGTGCAGGATATGTAGTTTTAACTCTCAGCACTTTCTTTGCTCTAAAGTTCCTGTATCAGTCGTAACTTAATTCTGCTTGTCAGGGTGCTGTTTTATGCAATTACTAATTCACCTCTACTTATCCATTCCTTTACTTTTTCTTCTGTACCATTACTTAAATATTGCTGAAAATATCCGGGAATGAAAAGAGTTCTAAGGTCCAGCTCTGCAGAGGTTTTAGTCTGTGCAAACTGCCAGTCTTCACAACATGCCTCATGAAGAAGGGTGTTCCTTGTCCTTCATTTTGGAGATAGAGAAAGTGAAGGACAAGAAAAATCAAAAATAGTACTAATCCTGCATTACTGCGTGCAGAGTATTTGCAGTAATTAAGGCTTCGCCAAGATTTTCTGTATGAAGAAAATATTTTACCTCTCCATCCCATGTACTTCCCCCAGAAAAGTATCAAATAGGAAAGAACAGTAACAGTTAAAACAATTAATTGTGTGTCAGCATAAGGTAATACAAGGATTGGTGGGAGAGTTAACATATTTTATGGGATCATTTGTTAGCTTGAGGAAATGAATAAACATTGCTCCAATTTTATCTGATTCCCATATATTAAGTTATGTGTTCACATCTACACTAACTAACTTTTGTTAGAGTATTGAGAGTGCTTAACTGAACAATGTGCAAGAAAGAGGTTGTTTGACATACTTAACCAAGGGAAAATCTCTTTATAAGAGATTTCTGTAGCTGGGTAAAGCATACAGACCATGTGTAGAAAGGAGTTAGTTTCTTCTGTTTTAAAGGTTGATTTTACTCTGCAACTAAAATTCTCTGATTTTTTTTTTTTACCATTGCGAAATGTACTCTATCTACTCAAAATAGATTAAAAGATTTCAGAACAGTTTTGAGAATGTTTGAAAGGCAAAACAAAAACGTAGTAAAAATGTAAGCAAAGCTACCCTGAAGCCACTGAACTTTAGCAATCTTAGAGTAAATCTGACTTTTACAATTCTGCTAGTGACCTATACAATTAAAAAAATCTTGCAGCAGATATGTGATAGGCTAGGAAGAAAAAAATGTAGATGATTTTTACCATTTCCTCATCAATGAGGAAAGATTCTCTTAGATGGGTCTTGGTTTCACTGGAATTAGTGAACAGCCAGGATTTTCAGAAGTGATGGGTGTCTTTCATTATCTAGAATATCTTATATTCAGTCATACGCTGGGTTTGCCTGGTTTGAAGTGCTGTAAGAGACGCCTTTCCCAGAATGAGGGTCCAACAGTCTAAATCTGAGAACTTTAGCTTCTTGTCATGCTGAGGCTTGTGAGAGGATCCTGAGCAGGCCAGAGCTCCCATATATTTCTCCCATATGTTTTTTTTTTTTTTTTTTTTTTTTTAAACGGGGTGGGGGGGAAATGAAACAACTTTGAAGCCCTTACCAATGGAAAGTATAGAACATAATAGAAATTAATAAAATGTCTCTAAGCTACTCTGTCCCCTCTGCCCTTGCAGGCAGTTTTGTGCTACCACATAGAGCTAAATCAGTGAGTATCTGAGGGGCAGCAAACCCTGCCTTGTCCCATTTGCTCCCGAGGAAGCTTTTTCTGTAATAGCTGAGAAGGCTGCCTTATTTCTGCTCCTTGCAGTGTGCCCAGATAGCTGCTGGACATTCCTGGTTGCCACATGCTGAGGCATCTGACACTTTCTTCCCTGGGCTTGCTTAAAGTGCTTGCTATAAAAGGTGCTTCTCCCTTCATCCTTGTCTTTAATATAAGACAACAAAAATGAAAGATGACTGAAGTGTTGCCCGCTACAGTGCAGAACACCAGAGGTGCCTGTCTGGTGGTTTTTGAAATATGTGTTGTCAGTTCTACTGTCAGTTTCACCTGTAGCATACACAAAAATCCTAAATGCCAAAGAGTGCCCTGCGCTCTAGAAACGTGGGTATGGGTGGTGGGGGAGCAGTGCCAGGAGTAGGAGGAAAACAGGGTAGAGGTCATACTAAGAATTTGTACTGATTCGCAAAATGTAGATGTTAATTATGATTCACAGGTATTACAAAAGGTTTCAGATTGTTACTTGAACTTTTTGCAGGTGGAGGCCTGTTCACCATGGCATTTTTTAATATGTTTCATCCTGCTTTGATCAGTCTTTGTAATAGTCATATTACAGTGGAAGTAGAGGAACAAAATGGTTCCTGTGGACATTCAAGAAGCATTTTGATTGCACATCTTAATAGAAAAGAAATGAGTCAGTACTCTGGGAGGAGCCATGTCTCATCAGCTCTCTAAAGAAATAAAGTAATTCGTAAATACTCTTGTATGAATTTTATTTTCTTAAGTTACCAAACTCCACTTACTCTTCTGGAGCATAGAACCTACTCCAAGCTTCTCTGTTTTCCATTTTTACTTGAATGATGCTGAAATCTAAGAAGTTAAATTTTATTCAGTGGAGCTTTATGCCACAATCACATATCACAATCCCGTAGTAGGAGTAGTAATATATAATCCGCTTGTTTGGGATAGAAGAAGCCATACGAAGGACTTTATGGAGGCCCTCCCTAACTTTGATTTTTGCCCTCTCTGGGCTTCCAGTGACTCTGTAGCTTGCTGGTTTGGTCCACACTAGCTATGTATTTCCTGAAAAATCTGTAGCTGATCTGGTTGTGTTTGACGGACTGGCAGATCTGATTACCTTTTTTAGAAGTTAGTCTGGATCTGTAAATGGTCCTCTTCTCTGATGCATCCATCTTTATGGTCTAGTCTTGAACTAGAATTCTGCAAGTATTTTAAAAACTGCATGTTTGATTCAGCAGCTTTAGACCAATCATAAATGGTTTAAAATAGTCTTTTTTGACCTTAGAAGGCTAATAGCTTTTGAATCTCTCCAATACTATCTTAAAACTGAGTTGTTTTTCATTCGCGTAGTAGTAGATTGTTAAATAAAGGTAGTATCTTTGGCTCTGCAACTTTAAAGACAGTAAATGTCTTCTCATTTTTTTATTCAGTATCATCAGTTGATTTCAGAGAGACACAGCAGTTTTGTTTGAACGTTTCCAAGTTTTCACTGGAAGAACTCTAGCACTTTTGAAGAGTCTGAACTTCTGGTTGCTACTTGTCAGCTTTTCTTCTATTTTAGCTTTTAGGCATAATCTTCTCTTTCTAATAGCTGGTACTGTTCTTTAGCGGCAATCAGTACAGAAAAGCCCTTGTACAGGAGGGAACAAGACAGTTCTCTCCCATCAAGTTGTTAACATAGCAACTTGAACTACACCATTTTTTTTAAGCAGCATGTTCTAGCCCTTGAGATGTACTTCATATCACGTCTTTTAAGATCTAAATGATTATAGGCATTGTGCAAAGATATAAAATTCATCAAGATATTTATTGTTCATCTGAAATCTGTTTTTCACACAGCAGTATCATCAAAACATTAACATTTGACAGTTTTCCATTAGACATTCATTTGACATATTTTCATTCTTTGTGTTAGAAGAGGAACTGGAAAGAAGAGGAATTAGCTAAGATTTACTTTAGCATTAATGAGATTGAAACCCAGATTATCTTTTTTTTAATAGTGATTAATATGGTAATTAAGTTATTAGCAACTATGGACTTAGTGTCAAGCATACATCTTCAAGTTTTTGTTTATATATATATGGACTGGTGAATTGTTCAGTGTTGGTAATATAAGGACCAAGCATGTTCTTTTTGTGAACTTATTATCCATAGGATTGAAGCAAATACTACACAAGACACCAGGACATTGTAATGAGATGTTAGGTAGTTGCTGTTCCAGTTATTTCTGTTGGGTGACATTAATCTATCTTCAGCAGGTGATCTAGTGTTTGACTCTTCATGTGCAGTAACTTTAGTCCAGAAATACTTTCTCCCTCTTCTTGGGAGGGAGAATACAAATTACGCAGTGACATCCTGCTGATGGACATTACAGCAGCACGTGTGCCAGCCACAGACAGACTGTGTAAGAGAGGGATATCATTCACTGCTCTCTGATCTGACACTAGCACCTGGATCACTTTTAGCATTCAGTTCTTCTGTTTCCCTATGTGTGAAATGGGGTTATTGCCTGCTTTGTAAATGCCTTTGAAACCCTTATGTGAAAGCTTTGATTTGACAGAAACCTTTAAAAAATTACAAGGCTCTGTCTCATTTTTATAATGTGTGGTCCTTCCTCTTCCCCCACTATGGGGATTTTACAGTTTAATTATTACTACATTCTCTCGTGTAGGGTGGAGTGTTTTGTCATTTTGGAAGTTGGCCTTACTGCATTTCTGTTTTCTGGAGGATAGCTTTCCTGTTTCAGTTAACCTGCTTAGGTAGTAGCTTACTTTGTTTCATTGTGTGATGGTTACTGGCATGGTGGGGTTGTTTTTTTTTTTCAAAAAAAAAAAAAAAAAAAAAAAAAGGAAAAAAAAAAAAAAAAAAAAAAAAAAAAAAAGGCAACCGTGTTGCTGTGTCTGTGTTACTAGTCATAGCAGGATAGTCTTTTTTTCAAAAGATTAGTTTTGATACTTATATAGATTAAATCTTTTTTTTTGATGAGTAAAATAAATTCTTGATAGAATCCAAGATGTAATTCTTTCTAAAATCAAATCTCTGTCTTTTAACTTCTTTTACTATATCTCACAGCTTTTCTGCCTACTTCATAAAACTGAAAAATTCAGAAGAAGTGTCAGGCTGGGCAAGGTATATTTGATATATGAATAGTTTTAAATAGTAACTTTCTTCCAAATTTTGTTTTTTGACCTACAAAAAAGAGGAGATGTTTGGTCACACATTACCACATCAGCTGGTTCTTCGCAGCTTTAGACTGATTTTTTGATGTCGTGTTTTCTCCTTCGAAAATCATTTCCATCTACTCTTAAGTTAACAGACTTGATGTATGCTAATGTAACCTGGAAAAAATTAAATTTTCCTACGTAGTACCATAAAATTAACTTCAACTTGGTATTAGGATCTTCCAGGGATGGAAAGAGGAAGGAAAGGGAGATGCTGCAATGCTCAATGAGCTCCATGAGGTTTTCACTTTATGGACAGCACCCACTTGTGAATCACCCCCCACAATAATCCTGATTACACATTTGCTCAGAAATTATCATTCCTGAGGCGTTTGAGGGACATAGATACATTTTCAAATCCGATTTGTAATTTTGACAACACAGAAAAGATGCAGGAAAGATGGAGAATATAATGTTTGAAGACAGGATCACAGGAGCCTCTCCAAAACAACAGACACTCTTTAAACTTTAATAGCCTCCTATAACACAAGCTTTTCTCTTCCTTATCCTTCCATAAGCCTCTGAGAGGAACAAAAAGGAAGTGAGGCATGGAAAAAAGCATTTACACCCAACCTCCATGTACCTAACGCAGTCAAATACACCGACTTGCTGTTCTTCCAAGAAGCTCCAAATAGTTATCTAGGTAACTTCTCTTCATTCAAAGCACTGGGCACATTCCCCAGATCTGCTGCTTGTTTACTGCACTGGGTGATTAGAATGATGCCAATATCATGGCAAAAACAGTGAGAACTGGAGAACTCATTATTAGACGACTCCTGCTTGGTTCTTTGGCCTGTCTGGACACTTACTGCTTCTGCAGCCCCAGCTGAGGGCACTGAGCTAATTTCAACAGTAAACACAGTTCTGTGATTTGGGAATGGCCAGTAGCGGCCAGGAATCAAAAGGAGGCAGCAAAAAACAGGACACTACTAAATGCCCAGTATTGTGGTGTCTCAGGTCACCGCATACTAAAATAAACAGGCTACAAGCATCGTAACACTTGTCACAGGACATATTTCTGCCTGTTCTTTTACAAGCACCATTTTACCATTTGATGGTGGAACAGGTGGAGGGCTTAGCTGTTCCTCTAAGGCAAATTCCAGCCCGACGGGTTTTTATTCTCTTAAAACACACACAAACACACACACACCCCTCCGAGTTATCATGGAGAATGTTCTCGAGCTCAAAACCACTCTACCAGGCTTAAAAAAAAAAAAAAAAAAAAAAATCCCTCCTCAAATGGCCAGGTATCTAGCACAGTGAATTTTCTGCACACACATGTGTGGGTGTATATAGTTATGCAGATATATAGATATGTAAAGTATGTCTAATAGATTACAGGTTTGTTTTTATGAGAATCCATAGAAACCTCATGGAAACTATGATGTACTTCATTGCCATTATAAAATTAAGAGTTTAGCTGCTTATGTCCTGCATGGACAAACTCCCGTGTCTAAGGATGAAATAATTTAAGTTTCACTGGGCAAATGGCCCATTCATTTTATTTATTGCTTGTTTTGAACCCGTTGTGTGGAAAAAAATATGGCCTTGGTCCTGCAAGCACTTACTGGGACAGTAGCACTAATTATTTTAATACTAATTACTTGCACCCTTTTTAACCTACACTTAACTTTTGTGGCTTTTGCTACTTGTTTATATTGCCATCTGTAAGACCATTGATTTCCTATTTGAATTTCTACATCTCAGGGGGTGCAAGTAGACATAGTTCTATTTATTTCTGTTTCTCTTTGCAAAATGACTGCCTTAAGGAAGCACGCAAAATAAGCAGGGCTTAAAGCAGGAGTACACATCAGGTGTAAAGGAACTGAAATACAAATGCTGTATCAGCATTTAACAAGAATTTAACATTTCTTTATGGGCACATGGCAGGGTGGATGGGAGTTTCATATGATAATCTTAGCTTGGAGAAAGAATGCTGACAGTGTTCTTTTTTTTTTTTTTTTTTTTTTTTCTCCTTCAGTCAAAGCACGTATTATTGACCAAAAAGAAGACTACAACAGCTGATTCTGTGGAACAACAGATCCTCTCACTGGAAAGACAGAGACGAGAGGTAATGTTAAGTAACCTTTACAATTGCATCCTCTAGCACAGGCCTTATGTTATTAGTAATAATTCCAGGGGAGAAAGTGCCTTAACACCAGGACTTAGACTATGCATATGCTTCAGTTGCTTTCCCCAGCCATTCCAATAAGGCCTATGATTTATATATGAAAATCTAGTCCTGCGTTATTGAAGGAAAAGCTCTATGTAGAGACTTTGTGAATTGCATTTCTTGGCAACTCCAGGCCTGTAAGCACTTAAACTTATGTTTAAATTAATTTCTATAGTCTTGCTTATAGCTACCAAGCTAGGCATTGGGGGACTATTGCTCAAAGTAAATTATGCTCTGTTGTTAACACAGCTATGAATCTAGAAAAGTAGAAATTTGCATGACACGGAGGGCAAACTTTCTTATTAATCTCTCTTGTAAAGGCCAAGGAATCACTGTGAGTAGTAACAAGTATAACCTTAGTCACAGTCTCTTGTTGACCATCCTAAAAGGTGAGCCTCTTCCCCGCAAAGCAACCTGCTTTTGAGAGCTCTTTGGAGTTCTCCAAATGCAAACTATGAAAATGTGCATACACGCTGACTTAGCTCCTTCTGCTTACATGCATGATAGAGGCCAGTCTTCCTTCCCTGAAGGTTGTCTAGTTGTTTAGTAGTATTGGTAAAGGTAAGCAGGCTTTGCACAAAGCAAAAATTCCAATTAATTGTCATCTTCAGTTCATTTGTTTGAAGTCAGTGACCTTTAAATTGTAAATATATGCATGTAACTTAAAGCAAACTAACAAGGAAGTCCTTGGCCATTTTGGAAGCTGGGATTTGTACTGTTACAAATGGTTCACTTGTAATTTATTGTGTAGTTGCATGTTTCCTGAATGTTACTTCCTGAATATTCATGCATCTTAACTGAAATAGTGAAGAACTGGCAGGTGGGCCATACAACTTGCTGAAGTTTTGACAAGCTTTTTCTGATATGAGCTGGCCAGATAATGAGAAGGTTGTGAACATCATAGAATCATAGAATCATAGAATGCTTGATTCAGAGCTAAAGGATTAGAAAGCCAGCCTATTCTTTGTATATTGAGTATGCTGAAACAAAGATTGTTTACTGTTGATTCTGATGACATGTACAGCTTCTGGATGTGAACAAGCAATGGGATCATCAATTTAGAAGTATGAAGCAGCACTATGAAAAAAAGGTAAGATGTTCACTTATGTTCTTCTAAATGGTACTATTTCTGTACCTGCTGTGCAGGTAGCTAAATCCTCTGTATAAATACCAACAAGGCTTTGCTCTAGTATCTGGAAACAAACAAACAAACAAAAAACCTAGTATCACATTTACTTTGTCTTTAGCTCACACAAGAGGGAGGAGAGAGAGAGAAAAAGAAAGGCTTTATAATAGAAGTGAAGATAACGTGCAAACATTTTTCAATAGGTCAAAATGACCAGGGAAACACATCCAGCCCTAAAGTAATAGGGACCAGGGTGGTGGACATAACAGCAGAAGTCTTATCCTTCGGAAGGTAATAGAAGTTCCTCACACAAGAAAGCACAAGAGTTCCCTAAAAATGAGCGTGCAGTGCCTGGTGTGCCCAGGCCCTGCTCTTCCTGGCCTCATATCTGTTGGTTCATGTGCTGTCTCTTCCAGTTCCTACTACCTTCCACTGTGGCCTGTGCAGCCTGGAAGCTCCCTGAGGCTCTTGGGTAAATCCTGAGTGAATGCTACCCCCTTTAGGTACAGAGGGATTTCATCCTTTGTGAAACCATCCCATATGAAAGCTTTTTATTAAAACATTTAAAAGTTGTAACTTTTCATCTTTTTTGTCAAGCTGTCAATGGAATAGCTGTCTTCCTTTTTTGACACCTTTGTCACAGACAGTGTAATCAGCTGCTTAGTGAAGCTGGCCATTTATAATTTTGTTGATATCCCAAAAAGCAAGTTGTTTCAGTGACTGACACTTCTTCTCTTGTTTCTTTCCATGAAAAGGAATTTTTCAGAGTGACATCATATGCTTATAAAAGAAAAGTTCCTCTCTGCTAATTCTTAGTAAGCTTTACTGATGGTTTCTTTCTTGATTTTTTTTTTTCCACAGAGAAGAATTTAAATGGCTCTTCCTCATTTAATATTATGCTTCTGATTTGATGTCTTTGAATGTTTGCCACTGTAGAAGGAGCCCCCATTGTGAAGAGAAAGAACGGGAAAATGTAGAACTCATAAATGGGGGTAGCCACATGATAAATGTCCTTTGATAGCAAAATCTGTATCAGAGCCAACTGGGTTAACGCTAACAGAAAAATTGCTCAGAATCCTTAAGGATCTTCACTGCACACAGAGCAGCAAGGCTTGGAGGTGGAGGAGCTTAAATCAGTGCTTGGAATCTTTATACCCAACCATATCCATTTCTTTATCCTGATCTGTTGAGAGCTGGAAGGTGTTGGAGGCACCGTAGGGATGCTATGATTTCAGGATTTTGGATCTCCAGTCAGCTCACCAGGTATACTGTTTTCTTTTCAGCTGGTAGAAATGAAAGCCAAACTTGACATGTCACAGAGGAGAGTCAGCAAGCTGGAGGAAGAGATGCATCAAAATCGTCCAGAAAATGAGAGTTGGCAGTTCCTGGACAGAGACAGGCCGTTGCAGGAAACGGTAGGAGGACGCTCTCTGTTATCAATTTGAATGCTGTCTTGTCTTTACTCTTTATGTTTTAATGAGCGACACAGCGTGGGTTGTAGCACAGCAATTAGATGAGCTTGTGCTGTTGAGTGCTCTTCAGTATTAAATCCAAAGCAGTGGCTGATCTGGTTTCTGATCAGACGGCTATGTATGGAGAGACAGTCATTTCTGTAGAAATTGGCTGAGAACATAGGTGTGTGTGTGGGGAAGTAAAGAGCAGATAGATATGAATTTTGCAGAGATTTCCTTCTGAACTGTTCAGTTTGTGGGTGAACTTTGCATCTAGTGGAAAAAAAAACACTTCAGTGATTTCAAATGAGATAGCGATATCATTGCAGGTGTTGCACAAAATGCATGTTGCACCAAAGCACTGGAACTCAGCTCCAGATAGCTAAATTTTGGTAGACAGTGTAGACTTTTATGTATAAGCTGCTGTTTGAGCTTGGAGATTTGGGGTGTGGTCAGCACATTAGTGGTGAAAGCAATTCAGTTGATCAGTCTTTTCTAGAGAGCTGTTCGATTCATCCTGAGTTTGGTTGATGGTCTCTCTCAAGACTCCTTAGGCATCAGCTGTTGTGTAGGCATTTGCATGTAAAGGTGATGCTGAATTTCCACCCAAGCACATCCACCAACTTAAATGATCAGCAAACATGTCAAATGTAAGACAGGACAAACACAAACTTCTATGCATACAAGTGCTGCAGAGTACAGTGCTTACTAACCTCATTTGTTTTCATGGTACCTCACCCTTTACAACCTTTTACAAGATTTTCTGCATTGAATTCTAACAACTGAAGTCAGGCTTCTCGCTCCTCGTGGGAAACTTTGTGACATGAAAGAAACCTGAAACAATGTGGCAAATGCATCACTTCCATGTTCAGATAAGATGCATGTTAGCCGCTGCAGGGGGGGAAAAAAAAGTGTAAAGTCCTAAAATTCATCTTCATAAGCAGAACATTCATCCTATTTGCTTATTTATTATGGTATGGTCTATGTGAAGCATGGTCTGAATATCAAACCAATAGGACTGTTGGTGTGCTTTAAAGCAACCCATATCATTATGAGCTTTCTGAATCACTGCCTGTGTTTCAGAAATGTGGAGTCCAGTGCAAGGTAATCTTTCTTGTTCATACCACTAATATTTTTACTGCCAACTCTTTAAGATATGGCAGCTGTGAAAAATACTATTAGCTGGTTGACACCTGCCTTGGTGGTTCATATAGTGGAGAAAGCCACAACGTGATGTTGTCTTCAGAGTTGCTTGGCACGGGGAGCAGCTGGGTCTCTTCTGAACTCTTGCCTTGGCTTTTTGATGAGAATAACACAGTTTGGGATGAGCATCCGTATGCTGCTCATCTCCTTGGCCTGCCAGCTTTATCATGCCTTTATGCAGGTGCAACGTAATTTAGTCTGGGATGTTTTCTCTGTCTTGTCATACGGTGAGCAGTCAGAACAACATCAATAAACTTTATCATGCCAAGCTGTGATTGACCATCTGCCTTCTTGTTGTCTCCCTTACCAGCAGCTTTTGGGGCAACAGGAGTCAGCATATCTGCCAGACAGCAGATATTCTGAATGTCAGAAGCTTCTCTCTATATTTTTGCCTTCCAGAAAGAAATAAAGATCCTCACTGGTGCCCTCCATGAAATGAAGGAAGAGAACAAGCTCCTGAAAGAAAAAAATGCCTTGATGATAAAGAACAAAGAACACTATGAATGTGAAATAAGTCGTCTCAATAAGGTAGGAACAAGAGTGTGCCACTGACTGGGAACTTTTCCTTTCATTATAGGGTCTCTGTTGTCAGGCACTGAAACTGCACAGTGCTTTTCTTTTTAAAGCTAGGTGGACATCCTGCTCATGGTAGCCAATTTGAAATTTCTTAATCCACAGATCACAGACTCAGAGAGCTGGGTTAAAAAAAACAACAGCTTAATTTAGCTCATGGCTTTGCAGGCTTTGCAGGCAGCAGGGTTTGTACTGGAAAGAGGAAAGTTGAGAAGAATTCTGACATCTCTAAAACTTGTCTGTGTATCAGAACTCTCTTGAGTTCCCCCTCCTTAAAATGAGCCATGTCACAAAGATGCTTTTATATGCATCCAGTGACTTACTGTGATTAAAAACATCTCACAGTTCTAAAACCAGTTTTAAAACTGTTCCTCTGCATATATTCTGTGTTTGAGAATAATATTTTTTTCTACCTAGGAAATGTGGTCCTGTCTTTCATTTATTATATGTATACATATATCTAAGTGAGGGAAGTGCTGTAAAAGAGCTTAAGGTTTTTTTTGGCTTGTTTTTATTATGCTTTTTTCTCCAGTAGAGGGAAAGTAATACACATGACAACTTGGCGTAATTAGAAGATCTTATAAAGCAGTGGGTGTTTTCTAACAATTTTATATTTCATGATGAACCACAAATGCTTCCTGAGGTAATGCACTGCAATAACCATTGCTGTATAACTTAGTGATGCACATGCTAGAGGACCATGATGTGAAAGTCGATACTTTTCTTTTTTTTTTTTTTGTGATGTTGCCATATACAAGAATTTGACTGAATTTATGGTCTTTATAAAATGCATTGACAGGGTTTGCCTAAAACCTTGGTGTGACTTTCATTCAAAGTTTTGTTTGACTTGTAAAACACCTTGCTTCAGTGTTTTATTTTGCTTTATTGTAATCTTACAATTAGGGAGTAAATAAACCACTCTTATAAATGAAATACCAATTTTACATATCACAGTTCCTCACATACAAATGTAAGACATTACTGATTTTCTGTGTATTTTCGTTCCTCATGAGAATACATACTCATGCCATGAGTACATGTATGGCTGAAAGGGCTTCTCTTTTTAAGTCTAGTCCCCTGCTATTGCAGGTTCAGTGACTTGACGTTCTTTGCAAATTTTTATCAATTAATCAGTTTTTACCTTGAAAATACCTAAATTGCTTCTACTGTGCTTCTGCTGGATAGAAGTTTTCATCAGTTTTGCTCTGTCTGAATTTATTTTGGTTTGTCTAGGTAGATATACTTATTCTCAAACAAATCTGTCCTGTTCCTTTCACTACCCTTACTCTTTTCCTATAGGTACACAGAGCAATCATATTTTACCTAGGCGACACTTTAGCTCAGTTCTTCTAGTCTTTTAAAATGCAGCTCTACTTGCTAATATGGACGGATTTTCATCCCAGTCTTTTTAGGCTGATTAGGTCCCAGTTTATGGATGATATTACTACTGGTTCTTAAGGACATCACACTTCTTTCTTTAGTTACATTTAACTTTGATCCATTCCTCCAGAGAACCCAACGTATCATGTTTGATTTGATCCTACCTAGATACTTGCAAGACTGAAGTGGCATTGAAGTGTCACAGTAGTTTACAGTGCCATTAGCCAAGTTTGTTGAATTTCCTGTAGCTGTTTCCATGTTTGCCATATAGTTCAAGTACTAGCCGTGTTTCTCCCTGACTTAACTGACATCTTTGCTTTAGCATCATCTCAAATGTGTTGTTAAAACATACACTAGAGCTGATCGGCTTATTTCCCCTGTTTAGAAAATCTGTTCTGTTATGAAGGATAACAGGGTAAACAGATATGTCCAGTGCTTCATTTAATTCATGTTCTCATGTCTAAAGCTCTTTTCAAAATTGCTTCTCAAGCCTTGCATGCTCTTGATGTTAGCTCAAGAGATGTGTAGTTGCATGGATCAATTTTTTCATTTTTATCTTTGGGAACTACATTAGTTATTTTTCAGTCAAACACTTCCATTTTGATATAAGTGCTGCTAGTCTTGTAATAGCAAGTTCCAATTTTCACTACTTCTGAATGACTATTATTTAGCACTACATTAAGTGACGCTGACTTTAATTCAATAAGCTGCAAGTCCTTTCTCATTTGTACGTGTTTCTCGCTGTCAGTCATACTTTGTGCAGCCACAGTGCTCTACATCATGACCCTTATTGGAAGCTACTCACCTTAATCCTGCCTCCAGCCTCACTCCATGGTGCCTTCCTTTTTATTTTTATAAAATCTCATTTTTATTTTTATAGTGAAATACTTTTCTCTAGATTAATTTCTTTTAGGAAATACAGCTCAATTTGACTGTCTCTCTTGCCTTGCCCTTTCATTTCCAGAGGGTGCCTTTTGTTGGGAATCAAATCTTTTCTCCAGTCCCTAGCAGCATGTTATTTCTTCTTGAGATTATTCATCCATCTGCCTCCGAAGCCTTTTCTTGCATGTTCTTTCAGTTTTTTGATTTTTTTTTTTTTGATTTTTTGGATATATTTTGCACTTTGGCCTTTATTAAAGTAGCAATAGCCAAATGATCAGTGACAATTGAATCCAGGATTGATTAAAGGAGACATCTAGAATTCTTTCATTTCTTTAAATTGCTTATTTTAGATTAACAAGCTTGGTTGGAGACTTAAAGTAGCTTACTTTTCCTTTGATGTCCCATGCCTACTTTATTTGCGGTCACGATTGATCTTCTAATAACATTACCATGAATCAAATAGGACTATTTTTTTCCAGATACCTAGCACTCCTTAGACTATCTTCGTAATGTTTTCTCACACTTTTTGACCCTAAACCAATTTATCTTTACTCATGTTGTCATTTCATATTTATTAGAACTTACAAAACTGGGTTTCACATTACTTCTTGTAAATGAAGTTTTTAAAAAGTCTGCATCTTGTTTTTATCTATTTTTAAGCTTTTGAAGTTCCTGTTTTGGGGGATATTTCTTTTTTTATCATGAATGTGATCAACTATTAGAAGAGACTGCATAGAAGGACTGTGAACTCCCCTTCCTTGGAGCTGCTCACAACTCAACTTGATGGGCCCTGAGCAGCCTGCTCAAATCAGGCCTGCTTTGAGCAGGGAGTTGGACTAAACAACCTTCCAAATTCCCCTCCTACCTAAATAACTTCTGTGATTCTGTGACTGTCAGCAAGATTAAGATGTATCCGACGTAGACAGGGAGGAGAATAAAAGCATAGATTTGTGCCCAGCAGCACGCTTGCAAGCCACACAGCAGGGAAAGGGTTTGAGTTGGAGTAGACCAGGGAACATTTTGTTTTTACTGGGCTTCTGGTAAACTTTACTGACTCTTGTTGCTGTTGGCAATCCATTCCCAGTGTAGACAACACCTTGTAGCTTGGTTTTGTTATTTATTTTACTATTTGTGCAGAGAACTGATATATCATTTCTTAAAAGCAACTGGCAGTGGCTCAGAAGGGCAAAAGGAGGCCTAGTTAGCAGGCTTTCTGAACAGAGCTTCATCCTTTCATGGCTGTGTTAAGCTATGGTTATGCACTGACACAGTACATACCTTTTTTTAGTACAGCAGCAATCTATCTTCTCCATAGTTTGTGCAGAAAGCAGCATATTAGATAATCTATCTCCCTTTTCTGGGTTTCCCATGCAAGGTGCTTTTGGTGGTGTGTGTTTGTTTTTCTTTTAACATTTCGGGGAAGATTAAATGCATAATGTTCGTGTGTTGGTTATTGTAGGGACTAGGTCTTTCAAAAGCTGTCAGGTTTCTGGTCTGCCATTCCCCCTGACCTGAGAAAATGATTTTTTCCCCATTCTCTTATGAGATGAAGAGAGCATTGCCAGACAGGGCTGCTGGGGAGAGCCAGCAGAAAATGACCTTCTAAAGCTGGATGAAGTTAACAGACTCCCTGTCTTCCTTGAGGGACATAGAAAGGTGCCAAAATCAAATGTTCAGCGCTTGCACTAGAGTAAGTGAGAAATGTGTGTGCATAATGGCTATTTATAGACAGAAAGGAGTGAGAATAGTTTAAAAATCATTCCAAGGGAGAGCTGTGGGATACAACTGAAAAATAAATAAAGTCTATGAAGGACTATTGCAGAATTTGACTGAGAGAGCAACTGCGGTATGTTAGAGAAGTGTGTATATATCGCTCCCTCTAGTGACTATCTATAGAGACTACATAAGCTCTCTTGCTTTCAGCCGGAATAGTGACTTTGGTTCCTGTTGCGGAAATTGTATTTTAGTGTGAAAAGTGTTTGGATCAAACTCTACTGTAGTCACATTTTAGGCCATGTCTGAATATTGCTTTAGTTCTTGAGGATTTTCTGTTTGTTTGTGTTTGTTTTCTTTTCTTGAGTTTGTTTTTCCCCTCTACCAAATTCTGATGTGCACAGAAAATGATATTTCTGAATGAGACTTTGCAACTTAGATTTTCATATGTAAATGTGGGTTATAGTTGTAAATAAAAGCACAGTCTTCTAAACTATATTATCTCAAGTTCATGGATGTATCACGGACGCTTTACGAAATTGGATTTTGATGTGTCTGTTTGTATTTCACAGTGTTTATCTCCAGTTTATATTATTGGAACAATTGCAAGTAAAGGGAAAAAAATAGTCCTTGGATCACTTTAATCCGAGAGTGCAAAGATTTTCATGATTTAAAAGGAATTTGTTTGATGTGGTGAAACCCAATATAATGAGTTTGCTGTTTTATGTTGCAGGCCCTTCTGGATATGTTGAAAAAACAGCACTCCTCTGCTCTTGAGACTCTCTCAGCAAAGTTTGATAAGAACAACCTTGAGGATATGCGAACCCAACTTGAAGTTCTCAGACAGCAGGTGAGAACAACTGGAAGTAAGCCTGGATGAACTTAAGGCAGTGTAATTTGCACCTTTTCCTAAAAACTGTCTCTGGTAGAATTGCCATATGCTGCTTTTGAAAGAAAGAAACAGTTTAGCTGTAATCTATTGAAATGGTGTGTTTTTTGAGATGCAGTCATCATACCATGAAGTTAAATTCAGTCTTTGCAAAGAACTGGAACAAAGCCTAGTGTCCAGCCTGAAGCATCAGAGTGCAGAGTTCTCATGACTCTGGGATGTGCTGGTTGGCTAGCTTTCTGCTGTGGACTAATTTTAATCCAGAGGCAATGCTAAAATTATAGTAAATTATATAAGAATCGTAGTCTGGGAAAAATCAAAGTGTGTCTTGGTATTGCAGTCAAAATGTTTGCCTCTGTCAGTATAGACATGCTTTTTTATTTTGTTTTCATTTTGAGCACTGTAAGTTCTTTATGTACTTTTTCTGTATGAAAGAATCTATTTTAAAGTGTGATACTCTTCAGATAATTTTACATTTTAGGTCTGACATCCTGGACAGTGTTTGATTTAATGTTATTGACACACAAATGGATGTGATCAGAATGAGAATTTTGTTCAATGGGAATAAAATACTTGTTTCTGTCACGTTTGACAGCAGAGCCAGATTTTGCTCTCTAATGTAATGCTTGCCACATGCTTGAGAGTAAAATCCTGCACTTGATTCTACAGTAATGAGTTATTCCATTCTACACAATAGAGTAAAACATTTTTTTGGTCAGGATTCTCATGGGGAAACTGTTTTATGAATGTATTTTTCTTGCTGTATAAATCAATACAGTCACTGCAGACTTCCCTCTGCGCGAAATGGAGCAGAAGGCTATAACTGTATGGAAGAAGAGCCCTTGGGACAAACGTGAACGTGATAGAATCCCACCATAGCTTGGCTGTCATCAGCCCATCCCTGGTCACGACACAGGAGATGAAGCCATTCGCTCCTTGGGAGGTGTCCCCTCTTTCTCAGGACAACAGAATGTCCAGCACAAATGTGATAGTTTGTTCTCTTGCAGCCTCAACAGGTCCTGCAGCTGGGGAGGGAGGTCAGACAGCAGGGAGTGAATCGGGGGAAAAAATAAATAAATAAATGAGGAAATACCTCGGAGAGAAGCATATAGCTACAACAGGGATACAAGAGACCTAGATTTCTGCAAGTGACAGCTATGCTTGTGAGGGTCAGCAGCACTTATGCATCTTTCAGGCACAGGCCATGGAGCTGAGTCTCCAGGCGAGCACACATAAAGCTTTTGGTGGGTTTTTACACATTATAATTCAGGAAGGGAATTATATGTAGTCAAGTCCAAAAAACCTTGCAAAAATTAGCTGCAAGAGGCTAGTAATGAAAATGATTAATATAACAGTGAGTTGCTTTTATTTTTCTTGAGGTATTAACATTTATTTGGGCTTGCTGTGAAGTACTGATGGAAAAGGAAAACTAGAGCTATGCTATCCACAATGCATGAGCAGCAGCAAGCAAATTATTTAAATAGCCCATCAGCTGCCTTTAGTGGCCAACTGAAAGAACCAGTTCTGATGGCAGTCTCCAGCACAATGGGGGCTTTGCTGTCTGACCAATCTTGAACTTTTTGTCAGGGAGCTGCCTGCCCATAAGCTGCCTGGCTTGCTTAGTTTTTTGACCAACCACCAGTTAGCTTCTGGGTTTGTATTTTGCTTTTGAAATCGTGTACTGTGTCAGGTGGTCATATTTTTTTAAAATGGGATGAAGGTTTATGACTCAAGCACTAGGTGACATAACAAGAGACAAGCCATTACATCCCTCAGTAATAAAAGAGAGCTTATCATCTATTGCCAGGATCAAAACTCCGTATTTCCCTTTATCACTGTGTAAGTATACACTGTAGAGTGTAAAAACACTCTGCCTCCAGACTGAGGTGGGTAGATTCTTTGGGCTGCAGTTTGAGAGAGTGAATCAGAACTCCCATGCTGCAGACAAAAGGTATATGGGGTAATTACATTTTCCACCTATAGCTTCTATTATCTGCCTCCTGGAGATTGCTCTTTTTTTTTTTTTTTTTTATTAAATCCTGTCTGTTCTTCTGAGGCCATAACAGTGATGAGAAAAAAATCCTTAATAATGATTCTCAATACTATCACTTACAAAACATTAATCACAGTTTAATTCTTTGGGCTATACCTTCACTGGAGAGCTAAAGCTGTGGAAAAGATAAAACTGCAGATAACTACAAAAAGGCATAAGGAAGCGTAGCATCAAGACCAGGCTTGTCACATGGCATTCAGTGGGTTGTGAAAAGAGCAGAATGTCACTTGGCTTGTCAATAGATGGGATGGAGTGATAATACTCTGCCAGGCTGCATGATAAAAGTCATTTTTTTTCTATGCTTTGCCAGTACCTCCCGTCTGCTACAGGATGCTAACTGCTTACATCTGACTTTTTTTTTCTTTTTTTTTGTCTACCACTGTTTGTACCTTAGAAAGATCTATGTCTTTGTCTATCTTACTATCTCCTATCTTCTTTTTAGTCTTAAAAAATGGATATTCCTTAATCAGCCCTTTTAAATTACAAGGGCGTAGACCTACAGAAGCTGTGGACCAAAATTCAAATACTCAACGTTGATGATTGCAGGTACAAATATATGAAGAAGACTTCAGGAAGGAAAGATCTGACAGAGAGAGACTTAATGAGGAGAAAGAAGCACTGGAGAAGATGAACAAGGGTTTACAGTCTCAACTGAATAAGCTAAATTCTCAGGTATGAGTCAAAATAAAGTTACTGTTGCCAGCACATGTGTGTATTATTTTTATTTTCTTTCTTTTTACACAACCCAAAGCTTTCTGGATTCCATTAATTGACATCAGCTTTTATGTGAGGTCACCACCTGGGATGAAATCATTCTGAAGTAATGCAGTAAGGAGATCAGAAATGATTAGAGGCTTCTTCCAAATCAAGTAGGTGAAGGGAGTGCTTATTACAAAGACTCTTTCAAGTATATCTTAAAAGGGGAGGAAAAAAGGAAAAAGACAAAAAATTTAGAGGACTGTTTCTTTTTTATCTATTTATTTATTTATTTATTTATTTTTGTCTTCCACTGGCACTTGATAAGAGAGTTGTGACATCAAACCAATGCTGGGAATAAAAAGTTTCTGTAATGAATCCCAATCTTTGCCATGGAATTACAGATTAGTATTAATAGCACTGACAGAAAAAAAAAAAAAAAAAAAACAGTCTCTAACTAAGTTGAGCAGCCTCTGCAATATTTTTTTGTTGTTGCAACATCCTTTTTATCTATTCAGAGTAGCGTCAGTGTTCTGTCCACAGATCTTCAGGAAGCCAAAGCAAAGTTATGCCATGCAAAAATCTGAGCTTTCTCAACCCTCTTTAAAAATGGTGTAATTTCAAGGTTTCCTGTCTTGACAAAATTGTGCAATGTTTTAAAAGAATGGCAGATTGCCGAAATGTTCTGTGATGATGTATTGTATTTGCTGACTTTTGAAACAAACTGCAGTATTGGCTTGTTCAGAACAAACCAACACGTCAGTACCAGTAGAGTCTTGCAGTAGGATCAGGATCAAGCATTGGAGAGCCCTGTGGATGCTGTCAAGTGCCCCTCACTCCCATCAGCTGTGGGGAAACAGGTTGGACGTCCTGCCTGATGCTGGGCACTGTTGCCAAAAGGCCCCAGGGCAATCAGTATTTTGACAGGTGCTTGGAAGCATTTCATACCAATGGAAATGTACCAGTGCTGGAGGAAATGCTATGATTTGCCATTCAAGGCATTTTAGGCATATAGAAATATCTTAGAGAAATCTGGTAGTATCACATGTAGTAATTTTTAGGTGTTTTCCCCAGCTCCCCATTCATGTCCTGGGTGTTTTATTAAGTAAAAGAAATGGTTTTTTTTTTTTTTTGTGGGAGACAGAAGTCACAGAGGCACCTTCTTCCTTTATAATAATTTGCTTTGCCTGGTGATCATAAGTGGCTAAGTAATTTCTTGCACAGCCCCAGCCGGTCAATGTAAGATGCGAAAACCCTCACAGCAGTGATGGTAAATAGAGAGAGTAGAAATGAGGAAGAAACCTTTCCCACTCCTTCCATCTCCTCTCTGGACCAGGAGAAATGTTATCTGCAACCTATGTCTGAAGGGCAGCACAAAGTGCTGCATGAGTTCCTGCATTTTGTCAGTAAGACCAGCTTTGGATGTGGCTTTTAAGCAGTTGATTTTTCAGGGTGACTATTTCATTTCTCCACAGATCAAGGCCTGTCTCAAAGAAAAGGAACAACTAGAAAGGCAGTTACAACAGCAGGTATACTTTTATTTTCCTGTGCCTTGTTTTTGGGGTGTAACTGACGTATTGGCCCACAGATGCATTGAAATGAAGTGAGGTACAGACATCCCACAGCTAGCCAGTGTTGGGTAGCTGGGGCTCTGGAGTGTACACTTTAACTTGATCTCATCTTCTCTGTCTATCCCTGCTTCATAATTTGATTAAACAGAGCTTATGAAGGACTTGAAACATGGGAGGAGTCATATAGTATATTAGTTTATTTTCTCAAATAACAAAACAAACTCTTTAATTCTGACTCAGCTCTTATTCCTCCTTGCTTTGTCCTTAAACAAATTCCAAAAGGCTGTACTAGGACTCAGATGGCCTAAGAAAAAAGACAGAATTAAAGCATAGAATTTATTGCTTTATTTAAGCTTCTTGTTATGCAAGTGCCTATCCATGTAGTTTTGTTCGAAAGGATCAAATGCTACTATGTGTAATGATAATATCTGTTGGTTATATGTGTGGCGCATATATGGCATATACTTGCCATATATTGAAACCAATAGTTTATCACATAAAAAGTGTCGAATATCTGGCCTGATTTAAGTCAGACTTCTTGAATTTTTTTTAACCATTAGCACTCTGAAGGGGCTAAATTGGAAGCATTGCGCTGAGAGAAGGGTTCTTATTTCTTTCTTTCTTTTTTTTTTTTTTAACTGGCAAATTTCTATGTGGATATTCTGTTGGTCAATATATCCTGCTAGTAATGCATTTCTACTGTTTTTTCCTACATTTTGACAGACAAAAGCCCTCCCAGTAAAGACTGAGCAGCCCAGCTTCCCACCTCCGGTCTTTCTCTCACCATGTGTTAATTATGGGAAATGTGGGTTGCTTCTTCATTATCAAGATCCTCAAGTACATCCAAAATCTCGTGGGACATACGAGCAGCAACAGCATGTGGTAAGATTCCTACTGTTGCTCATTCCACAAGGCCACTGATTTTTCTCATAGCATGGTAATCACAGAAGAATAATATGGTGCTATCACACTGCTCTTCTCGCCAGTAACCACTTCTGTTGTCTCCTGGTCCATTTTTGGTTCCAGATCAAAATTGTGTGCTGGTTGCAGAATTACTCCTAGATCTAGAACATCCTGCTTGATCTCTCTAGACATTCTTCCCTGTCTAACTGGCCAAAGATACCAAATTTCTTTGAATAAGCATGTTCTTCCCTGCTGTTCCAATGTCTCTGGGACTAAATTGCACAGAATGCTGCTGTATCTCAGTCATAGAATAACCAGGTGAATGTGGACATTAACATTGTTCTTTTAATGCTTCTACAATTTATTCTTCTAGGCATAATGAGGAAAAATAACAGCAATTTAAACATACAGCTGATAAGTTACAATATATACTTGATGTTACACTTTAGTGTATGTTGTAAATTGTACTTGTGAAAGCAAATTTATCTCTAATACTCTTCTTTTTGGTAAGTGAATTATTGTGTGTTGGTTTGCAATGAATAGTGGTAGTTATTCTTTAATATACAAAAAAAAGATTGATTCTTGCTTTTTTTTTATCATTATTAAGATTATTTTACATCTATTTAAAAATAATTGTCTGTTATCAGGCAATACCACTCTAGTAGTATCTTCCTTCTGGTACCCTGTTTTGAAAAGGGATGACTTGAGGAGTGGGGGCTGCTGAATGAAGGTGATGCGTTCTAGCTGTGCACGCTTTGGCATTGTAATTTTCCTGAGTAAGTCTACATGCCGCAAAAATGAAAACTAGCGGTAGTGCAAGTTACATCTGAGTGTGGCTCGCAAAATTGGAAATTGACCCTTTTTAGTTCTGGCATACAACACGGTCCTGCCTTTCTACTTCTCACTCAGCATGCAGGAGAATCCCTTAGTCCTGGAGCTTCACATAACCTGATCATTGTCTATTCCAAATGTTTCAAAGAATGATACTTTTGAAGTTTTGTGGATTATTTTATATTCAAAGTGCTGATGAGAAGTGCTAGATTTGTTTAAGATGTCGGGAGAACAATTTTAAGCATGGCAACTCATTTTTAAATACATGTTATCTATTTATAAAGCTGTCATGTATCAAAAGATGTTCATCATTTGTGAATGCTTAGGTTTTGCAAAACGTGGCTTTCAGACTACAGGAATCCAATGGAGGAGTTCTGGTCAAACAAGTCATTTCTGTGTTTCAGGAGAATGCTTATCTATCTAATTATCAGAGTTGTAAGTACTGCAGAATATTTTTCACTCCAGTTTGGACAGGGTCCCAGGTTATTTTGGCTCCTGTCCCTGAACTTTCATCATCTGGGTTTCTAATTCTGCAAGGAATCACTGAGTTGACAACTTTGTCATTCTTGCTGGAGAACTGGGATCAGTTAGACTGGTTGCTTTGTAACTTCAGTTTTGTCCAGCATTTCCTTTGAAATTCTTTGTCTGTGCATGTGTAGCGTTGCTGCTCTGAGCTTTTGATAACTCCCTGAGCAATTTGTCAGCAATGAAGAAAGGTGTTAGGATTTAATGAGCGTCCTGAGTTAACATATGTAATCGTGTGTGTTTAGTCTGTTTTTGCTTTCTCATTATTTTTATTTCTTGCACCTTTTAGTTTTTTTCTGCGTTGCTATAGAAGTGTTTTGTTTAGTCTGGCATGAAATATGTCTCTTCTGTCTTCGGATTTCTTTCAAGCTTGCATTTTATAAGTATTTTTGAAAGGGAAGAATAGATTAAGGAACAGAAGATTAAATGGAAACACAAAATTTTGAGCCATCAGAGCAAAAACTACCTGTGCTGTATGTGCAATCTTAAGTATTTTGTACCAATGCCTATTTTGTTTGCCTGCCAGCACAAATTTAAAACAGGAATTCTCTCTGCAGTTTAACTAATTTAAAGCAGTAATTACTTGTCATTTGATAAGCTTACATATTCCTTTTGAATCAGATAGACAGCTTAATACAGCTTCAACTGAATTGGTTGGTACTAAAATTGTTTTCTCTTGGGTAATTTTCTACTCATTTATTGATGTGTGTGGTATAAGCAATAGTGTAATATTTCTTTCTTCCTCACTGTTGCTAATCATGAAGGATTTCACTGAATAAAACTGCACGTTCCCAGTACTTCCTCTTCTAAGAAAGATGGGGAATTATCCCATTCCACAATGTTTTGAGGAAGCTGCTTGGTATCAACTCATGTCATTATAACATTAATGCTTATCTTTGGGGAAGAGAGGAATAGGAAGACCTTTATTCAAAGGACTGTTTTCCATGATACTGAAAAACTGTCACATATGTTTTCAAACTGGAACTGCTTCACCCGTCAGATCGATGCATACCAGGCATCTCCATGCTCCTTAAGTAGGATGGAGCCTGTTAAAAATGTGATGTCTGATAGTATCTCTGCATTTTATTTCTCCCTATCTCCTCATTCTTTAGCCACAGTACTCTATAAATCCCTTTTAAAATCTGATTTGTTTCTGTTAGTGTTTGTTTTGATTTGTGGGATCTAGAAAGGTTTACTCCAATATTTCTAAGTGCAGCATCTAAGCCACATGTCATTTAAAAAAAAAAAAAGCTGAAAAAATGGATCAGTGGAAATTTAAAGCCAAATGTAAGACTTTTGTATACTACTTCTGTATGACTAATAATAAAACTTCACAGTACAATTGTATTTTTAACATACCACTGTTCTTTTGTTTGAAGTGTCTATGAAGTCCATATTGCTGTAGTAATGTTTTATTGTTCTGTGCAGCCAGACTATCAGTGGTATGTTCCTGACCAGTTTCCGCCAGATGTGCAGCACAAGGCAAATGGTAAGACAACAGCTGTACAGAGCATATTTTAAATGTACTTTTTTTTTAATAGGGGCCTTCGAGGGAGATAAACTAAACTTTTCTACTCCTCAGTTGAGTGTTTACTTAGTGGTTTTGCTTCAGAAAGCTGAGTTTGAGATATATGCAACGTAAGTGAGAGTTTTAATGTGATGCCATCTACATTATGTTTGAAACCTCATTGCAGTTCTTGAAATAGCTTTGAAATATCCCTAAAATACATCATAGGATCAATTCAATGCCTCATTAAGCGCCTAGCATGGGGTCAAAAGAAAGAATATTCTCAGAGCTAGCATTAGAGCATCCGTTGCAACTAAGCAATGGGGTCTAACTAGGGCTAAATTTAATGATGTGCTGAACTTCAGAACCAAGGTGGGTTAATTTTTAGGAGCCTGGTAACAAAACATAAACTTTAAGGATATTTCACTTTAAAGGAAAAAATGCCAATTGCTATCCTTCATCTGCCCTGATAATAGTTCAAGGTGTCAGGTTGGAAAACAAAACCATTTAAATAGACAAGTGCAAACTATCTGTTGAAAAGCAGGAGTATTTAGTACTTGCACCTGGATTTGAAATGCTGCACAGTTCTTGGATTTTTCAAAGTAATTTCTTCAGGCCACTCTGAAGACAGATGCTAGAAAGAACAAAAAAGAAGGGATGCTGTTCTGCAAGGGAATCCTTCTCTTCCCATCTTCTCCTTCAGAAACTTCCTTAAACCACCCCTTCTCTCTCAAAAGGAGTTGAGAATGATGGCATCTTGCATTGCATTTTGCTATATTCTCTTGTTTCATGGCTCTTTTATAGATATACCATCCCAAATGGATAATAAACCATCCCGTGCTATGCAAGGGGACCAACAAAGTCTGTGGCCATGTGCACTACGCTAGTGACCGTATGCAGTCCATATGTATGTCATGTTTGAGTAGGTCTTGCCTGGCAGGGCAGAGACACTTGTAGCATCCACAAAAAAAAAAAAAAAAAAAAGAAAAAAGAAAAAAAAGGCAAGATATGATTACACAGAAACTCTGCAGTCATTTGTTGGCTACCACCTTCACACAGGAAAAAAGATAAGGTGGGGAATATCTTATATAATATCTTATTGTTCCTTATCCAGAACATGTGAATACCTTTTTCTCCATGGAGTAGTGTGTTGTAAATCCAAGTAAATTCATGGATTTTTCCCTTTGCTTTCTTTTTCAGTCCCCATTAGGAGGAAATTTCAAGTACTCCCGTAATACAACAATGTGTAATATGTCTGAATTAAGATCTTCGGGCCTCTTATTAGCCATTGTTCACAGAAAAGTTCTACTATGAATTCAAATATACTAGACTGGATTTAGTTATGTAATATATATAGTAGCCTATGTTAAATCTGTGCCTTTTTTTTTGAGCAAGAGTTCAAAGATAGAAACTTCATGAATACATGACAAAAGTATTCTTAGTATTTTTTTTCTATTTCTTTGTTCTGTTTTGAACTAGTGTTAATTGCAATGGTGGGTTTAAATCAGCTGGTATGCTTAGCAGCATTCCTGAGTCTCATTTCTCAGCTTTCATTTTCTCACTAGATGATAAACCAACTGTTAAATCTTTTCCTTTCTGAGACAGGGCTTCATTATTGAAAAACTAAACATTACCAGAGTAACCTTTAGGGTCTCTTTCAGAATTATGCTCCAAAGTGGAGTCCAAAGTGTCAGGGAAGAAGCATTCAGATAGTCCTCATAAGGAAACCACCAGACTGCAGAGCAGGATTATAGGTTCTCAGAAAGCAAAAGAGAGGGTCTTTGAAGGAAAGGAAAAGAGAAGGGCAATGTATAAAACTAAAATGAGGAAAGATGGGTAGAGTTTGAGGAAGAAGGGAGCTTCTGTCTCTCTGCACAGGCAGAAATAGTTCCTAACAGGATAATTCTTCCTTTTGGCTTCTGGGCATGGTCCCTCCCCATAGACTTTGCTATGCAGAAAACCTATCTTGAAGGTGTACTCAAATTCTTCCAGTTTAGCCTTGTTCTACCAGCTATGCTGGTATAATTTATCGGAGGGAAACCAGTTCCTCAATCTCTCTGTGCTCTTATCACTTGGAGTGACTGTTACTTTTTTTGTTCTTTTCCTGTCCTTCTTTCTGTCTTGCTTGCAGAGCAAAAGGATTTCCAGCAAGTGCACCTAATGTCACTTTATTTGGAAAGCAATATTGGCTGACTGCCTTATACAACTGCGTGAAATTGAAAGGACAGCTGAAAAAAGATTGATCTTTGGAGATTTTGCCCAAACCCATTCTTTTAACCAAAAATTATCTGGAAAAGAGTTTTATTGCTCAAAGCTTAAAGAAAACAAGAACCTTTTTGCATGCCATAAGCACTGGAATGTATTGTCTCTTTCACTTCCAAAATTAGTCTCATTGTATTTATTTTCTCGGCAGAAACACTGATGGCAATACCTGTATTCAAGAACTGCAATTGTTCCTTGAGAGTGTTTGACATAACTACTGAATTTCTTTGACCCAAGCTGTATATTTTGGCTTTGAATCCAGTTGTGCCAAGCAGAGGGAGAAGTCAAAACTTGGCCCTTCAACTCTCTCTCAGCTCCAGGGGTAGCTCAGCTGGAGCCCTGCTCAGATTGGCACAGCCTGGAAGAGCAGCACTCAACCTGTACAGCCTTAGGGATGCTGCTATGAGCCCCTTAAGAAGCATGATGTTACTTTCATTATCTCTTTTCTCTTCCATGCCCTGCTGCTTTCCAGATTTTTGCCCTCAAGGTACCTACTTTACTGCTAATATTGTTATAATGACAGCTAATTGGAAGAAGAAGAAGGGCAACTGTGTTGTTTTCCACTGAAAATAATGATGTGGGGAGGAGGGAAAGGAAGGGAAAAAAAAAAAAGCTGCAAAAAAGAGTTTTGGAGGTCTTCAGTGAAAACTAGGCAGAAAAAAAAACTCAATAACCTGACATCTTTGAGGCGGAGTGGATGGGAGAGGATAATGACACCCCCAAACATTTTTGGTATTATCTTTCCCTCACTGTATACATTACGCTACTAAGGATCTGTACTGCATCCTGGTTAAGACAGGTATTTAATTAGCAGATTACTGTCCCACTAGCAATGAAAGTTGATTATTTTTTAGGATTCTTATTGATCCAACAGGGGCTTTGTAATTTTGAAATTGAGAATAAATGGCAGAAGTTTTCATAAAATAAATTATCAGACTTATCTACAACTTCATAAATTCAAAAGTTTAGTTACAGGGTGTAAGTGTACCTGTTCATACTTTTATCAAATGATTAGTTGCTTTGGAAAATTATTCCACAGAGATGCCACGGAGATGTGTGCTGTGGTGTAAGTATATAGTAGTCTAATGGATATATGAACTATGGAATTTTTTTCTGTGTTATGTTTGTGTTTATATATATCTATTTAAATATATATACACAAGAAATGAGTCTGCTAACTCTTCCTGGCATTTGTGGTCAAATAACGTGAATTGTTGCTCTAGATACCACCTGCAAAGAAAAAGATGTCACCAAAATCGATAATTCATGTGGTACTGCTATTGGCTACAAATATGGACTTTTTGGGTCACATTTTCTTTCATATATCATACGCATGGATATTGTAAGCACAGCGTGTTCAGAAGTGAATGATGGGGTTGCTGGGTAGTAGCTGCTGAGCAATTATCATAGACAATTTGAGATTACTACCAGAAATATTTAATTCTTTCTCTTGAGAATGAGGTACTCTGTGCACTTGAGTGGGGTATGTGTGTGTTAGTAATGACATGTTGCAGCATCTCAGTAATTTCTTATCAAACTTCAGGAAGGCAAGATATGTTACACAGGCAATAGCGTGTTTCGTTTCTTCGGTTATATTTTGTTAAGCACACATTTGTACCAGCGACACCGAATTAACAGTAGGTAGTACCATGTCCTTCCTCCCTCTGCCATTCCTTACCTGCTCTCTTGGGTGCAGCTAATGTTAACTTATACTTAATGGACACTCCTGAATATCAGCCATCCTTCTTAGAGGTATAGAAGGATTACATGGGGGTGGATTTTGGTTGTTGAACTCTACTGTTTGTTCCATATCAAGTATCCCCAGGAATAGATCACAGTAAAGAGATAGATAGAGGCTATTGACTCGTTGTGTGATATCCCTACCCTCTTTTGCTTCTTCATATTCGCTATAGTTTGTGTTGCATTGATTGCAGGTTTTCAGTGATGTACAATATTGACAGTAAAAAAGGAGTGGGGCAGGGGAAGGCAGAAAATGGGGGAAATTAAACAAGGGAGAGTTGTGATTCTCAATGGCAAAGTAATTTGTGTTGATTTACTTGCAGGTACATCCTCAGAGAAAGGAGCCCATCCCTGATGGCTTATGACCTGCAGAAGCATAGACCAAAGACTGCAAACTAGTCTTGCAACTTTGTTATTCTGTGTTGTTGTGATTTGTTATTGCCCCTAGCTTCTTATCTCTGCAGTGCATATTATTTATGCCTGGTGAAATCCTTGCAAGGACAATAGAAAAGCAGCTCATTCAGGCTAGTGATCCTCAGGATCCAGCTAAACTCTGCTGGGAAGCATCACTGCCCTTTGTTCTGAAGATGCTGTTTGTGCTGTCTTTGAGAACCTATTAAAATGCCTTATGATAAAAGATGGAGTTATTGCTGGAGATTCAGACACTGCCACATCTGTTTTGAATTCAAGAGCTTTAAGCCCAATAGTATTGTGATATTTTTTGTTTGAGAGTTACAGTCCTTTTTATTTGATTCTTGGGAATTATTTGTTGATGTACACTCTTGAATTCTGTACTTTTTTATTCTTGGTTGTTTGGTAAAAAGGAAATCTGCTTTACTGTTTCAATGCACTTGTATAATTGAAATCAGGGTATTACAGATAGCATGCCAGAAAAAGAGTGCCTACTCCCATTCTGAGTGAAGGCTCTGTTTTTGATTTGGATCAAAAAGTATATGAAAAACATAATCAGATTCTTTTGTGTGTACTTATTTGTATCAATAGAATCTTAATAGAAATATTTAATGAGTTTAACTTTTCTGTGAAAATGGCTTTATATTTCCAGATGATTCCAGTAAAGTATTTGATTGTAGTGATTCTGAACATGATTGTGTGGCCTGTGTTCTGAGAATGAAGCCTAGGTGTCTAAGTAAACATGTATTCATGAAACTATGAAACTTTTCAAAAATTATGAAACTTCGTATGAAACTATGAGACCAAAACTTTTCAGAAAGTCCTGGTGATGGATGCTCAGCAGACATGGCCTGGTAATCTGCTTGCAGGATTGTCCCTTCCCTTCAGACTTTTGACAGCATAGTTACTGGAAGGCAGGTACCAAAACCTCCTAGAATCCCACGTGCAAGAGGGAACCAAGATTTTTGCAGCAGGTCTTGTGATTTTTTTGCAGAAAGTCATGTGAAATGTCCTCTGTACTTTTCTGATAACTGAAATAGTTAATGAGAGTTGGAAGTTCTATTAAAAACACCTGAGCTGGGCAAAAGCAAAGTGGTAAGAGATTGTCTGCACATGTGATTTCTGCTTTTAGAACAGGTATTTCCATTCCCTTAAAAGTAGAAAGGTCTCTACATTTAAATAATACCCCCCATAAACATTTTCAACATTTGATTTTGGGCGCAAGGGGGAATAGTCCATGGAAAAGCACTTTCGTGTTGTTGAACTTCACAGCCATGCTGCTTTCACCTACTGTGATGAAAGAAACAGAGCGCTCCTAACTTGTAACGTGAAATCAAGCAGAACATGAGCAAAGGAGCAAGTGACCCAGTCTCCAGGAAGAAATTGCTGTTTGGAGTTTGACAGCAACATTAGCAACAGAATAAACTCCTGAGTCTCCATTAGAGATGGGAGTTTTATCTCTGCACGAATATGAAGCTGGCTAGCAGACGCTATCGCAGCAGCCAATTGAACTAGCAAACAATGTAACTGTGCTACCCCTGATTAGTGATTTGGCTAATAAGGGTGAGATCATGGAAAATGCTAATGCAGTGCCTTGGGCAAATCCAATTATAATGTAACGTAATTCAATGCAAGCTCTCAGCAGGTGACCAGAGCTGTGGGTAGAGCACCCCACACTCAGAGCTGTTGTGAATTCTCAAAAACAGGCCAGCTTCTGTGTAGCTTCTGTGAGAGGCAGCAACCCCCCATTTCATTCACATCAGCTGTTTCCCTCAACTAATTGTGAAGATTTTTGCCTTCCATTTGTGGAGCCTAATTAATTGTCTTATAATTTGCTCAAGCATTATCTGGTCAAGCAGATGATTGAACATGAGCCATTCGCAGTAAGAAAACAAGGGTTTGTAGGACTATCTTGTTTTCTTGCTTTAGTCGCAGGCTTTTACTGCTTGCAAGCAATGCTGTAAATCTGGACTCACGCAGATCCTAATAATGCTAGTTGTGAGGTATCACTTGCACAATGTGATAGAAAAGTTATATTTTAAATTCATATAAAATGTCTTTATAGCTTTTCTTTCCCAATTTTCTGATAATGTTTCCCAAATGCAGGTGCTGTCATCTGTTTGAATTAGCATTGTCAGACTCAAATATCCCCAAGGTCTTGATTCTTCAGTGACCCAGGCAAGCTTGAGTGGGGTGAGTTATGTTAGTTAAAACAACTGTAGTACTCACAGTAAGAAATTTGCCATTCCCTGGCTTTGCTGAAACTCAGCATCCATGCTCACAGTTCTTCCTGTGGGCAACCTTTTGGAGATGTTTTGGGGCATTTCCCAGCTTTTGTTATATTTTATTTTCCAAACACCTGCCAGTTTGGACATATGAGCCTTTCAATTTAGCTTTCTCCAATATTTTGGTGCGTTAGTGGTGAGGTATGAATTTTACAGTAAGGGCTCATGGCATATGTCTGTGAAAGATTTTTTTTTTTTTTTCCCCTCTTCTATTTTTCTGTAGGAACTATTCAGGCTTTGGGAGTATTAGAATTCCTCAGCAAATTGTTGGTCTAGCAGTTCACCTAAATTCTTGTCTCTGTAAAATAAAACTTGGTAACTGTTTAATTTAACTGGACCGGGGGCTTCCTTGAATACCTGAAGCAGGACTGTCCTGTCCCAGAGGTGTGCGAGTGCCCTGGGTGCCTTTGTCTGCCACTGGGACCAATGCTGAATGCTTAGGGAGGGAACTGATGAAGCAGGACAAGCAGAGTGGTCTCATGTCAAAACCTTGCAATATATAAAAGGGATGTGCACTGACCCTGAAGCATCCTGTCTTATCACAGAGCTCTGACGAACAGCCTTCCTTCTCCCCCAAGGCAACTGATCAATGCATGTTTCCCTATCAGCTACAGTTTTTGCCTATCTAGTACTGCTTCTAATGTGACACACATTTACACATACCCTAGGTCAGTACTAGCCAACCTTCTTACCCAATGCCACGGGAACTTAAATAATATGCAAGTACTACTTTCTTATAAGAAGTCAATTGCCATTTCAGAAATGCTTAAAAGGTGTTAGACTTTTAAAGAAATAATGAAGCTGACCTAAAATGAGACTGACTACTCAGAATTTTAAGCTGACAGGGAGTCCCAGATGTCGTTGGAAAACTTTGTTACTTCTGGTGAAAGCATGTGTGTTGAAACAAATTCATATGCATTCCAAGTGACAAGTTATGATAGCTAATAGATGTCTGAAATTTTACTATATAACAAATATGAGAGAATATGAGAATGTTCATTTTGACATGGATTTATGTCAACTGTTTTTCTAAACTGTTTTTCCATATGGATGCATCATTATATACTAAATATCTTGTGGAAAAAAATCGTTTCTATAAATAAGAGCAAGTATTCATATGCTAGGTTAAATTATTTATTTCCAATATTATCTTCATGTTATTTGTGATACCATATGTGGCATTCACTAAAAGGATGTTTTGGTTACCATAACAGTAATTATCCAACATTAAAATATTAGCACATGCTTGAACTCATGGAGTTGTTGAAACAAATATGGCAGTTGAATGCTGGGGTCTGCTGGGAATCTTTGTCCCATCTTTTAATATTTTTATGGAGCTAGGCTGATGCAACACCACTGTTTTACTGACATGAAGTTATCTGTTTTGATTCCCCACTGTTTTAATTCGTAGGCGTTTCATACTCTGTGCTCCTCAAAACGTTAATGTTGTTTTAAAACTGTGTTTATTTTTTGAAGGCCTGAAGTGCTACTAGTGATGGTAGTGTCAGAGTTCTGTTTCTATACATATTTCTTTCTACTCCTGTGCATATGTACTGTGCGGTATGATACTAAGGTTCATTGATCGTAAATAAGTTATCTGTGATTATCAATCACTAAATAATGTTCCACCTTAATCTAAGGCCGTTGTCCATTTTAGGAAAGAACTACTGCTCTGAAATTGGGTGTAAAAGTTGAGAGCCGTTTTAATTGTTTCCATTCTGGATACAAGTGGGTGCGGAATTGTGATTAGACTACAGACAAAGCATGTGGGTGTCTCAAATATACACATTTGCCTAACTTAGAATAGAAGACTAGGTACCACAACTGGGGATGATTTAAAAGATTACAAGCGAAATCTTGGTTCCCATTTACCTCCTTCTTTAATCCATTCACTAATTTTTGATCTTCTACTGCATCAGTATTATATTTCTTGTCAAAATAACCCATCTACATCTCTCACCTCCACAACAAAAATATTTTTTTCTAAGATGAAATGAATTATATAAACAGTAAAACTAGAAAACTAGTATGTGACATGAACACTATAGATGAAAGAATGCACTCTGCGCTTTGGCTTATGTCCTCCCACACTCAGAAACTTGCACTTCATCAGGTCCCTGTCATACTTCCAACTACCTGCCCAGTGATTACTCTGTCAGCATCCAACTTTCTGTTACACCACATTTTGGAGGAAGTAGGATTATGAGATGACAAAAATTTTTGCTCTTCATCTTCTTTTCCCTTTCTGTATTCTAGAATAGGCTTAAAAAAGAGGTGGCAGTATATGACTAACTTATGGTGAAGCAAAACTCTGTTGCTTCAGATGTGTGTCCCTACCGCCCCCCGCATCCCCCAAATAGTTGGGGAGCAGAGCTCTACCTGAACAAACTGGAAATTCTGGTAGTGTTGCCTATACCACTCTGTGACTGAGCTTACAAAGTATTTCTTTTCTAACTGATCCTTCTCCTTCTCTTTCTCCTTCTCTCTTTTTTCTTTTTTTTTAAACTCGGCATTTAAAGAGGGTTTCTGTATTCTGTATTTTTCTGTATGAAAATGACAGAAGAATTTCTCTCTGATTTTTGCAGATGCAAGACTAAATGTCTATAAGACACCACAGGGTGTCAAATATTTTTTAACTAATAAAACACTTTCCCACCAGGAGTCAGGATGCTGGCTAATTCTGTGTTTTCACTTAGAGCAGCTTCTCTTCCACCTGCCCTATAAATGGAGAACACCCAGGTGCTTCCTGTCATTGG